CGAAGGTGGTGTCTGCCAGGCTTATCCATCAGAAAGTATCTAGTTCTCTCTTTTGTAATTAATATGTTCATTGAAAAGTAATTTTCGGGGTGCTGTGGGTTAAACACTCAATTACTAGCTGCAAGTTGGCAGTTTGAACACATCCAGAGGTGCCTGGCAGTCTGCTTCTGGAAGGTTCCCGCCTTTGGAACTCATGGAGATGTTGTACTCTGCACACATGGACTCACATAGTGAGTCAGACAGAACCAACGTGATGGCAGCTAACAACAATAACCTTTGTGATGGAATTTTTCTTTCCTCCTCAAACATCCACCCACTAGTTTCAACAACTACTGATGAATTATTTGTTAATCTGATGACTGGTGATTTTCTAACTCCATAGTCCCTTTTACTTTTATTAGTTGGTGACATATTAAATTGGAATTGCATGTTAGACATCCAAGTGGAAATGCTGAGTGGGAAGTTTGGAGTTTAGGAAAAATGACAGGCTGGAGATTTAGATGTAGGGCTGTGTTGTTGTTAAGTGTCGTTGAATTGGTTCCGACTCATAGTGCCCTTGTATAGGGTTTCCGAGGAGTGGCTGGTGAGTTGAATCACTGACCTGGTGATTCAAACTGATCTTGCAGTCCAGTGCTTATCCTTGTTTTTGTTCAGTGCTTATCCTACAGAAAGTTAAAACCATAAGGCAGTGGAGGGTCCCAAGGGCATATCCCACTGACCACAGTTTGGGCCACACTGTGACCCATTTTAATGAGAAACCCTCATGCTGGCTGGGTCCAGAGGGTACCATGGCTTAATGGAAACTGAGACTGGGGAGGGGGGTGGGTGTAATCCCTGTTTTATAGGAAGCTGTGTTCTGTGATAAGAAACGGTCCTACTCACCTAGGCCATGGTGAATGTGCTTACTTCTGAACCTGAGCACATCGCTGGCCTACTTTTTGCTCACTCTGCCTTTCATTGCTACTGCTTGGAGGACTCTTACTCATCCCTCAAAGCTCAGTTCAAATGCTGCCTTCACTCCAAGACTCCCGAAACAAGGCCATTCACCGAGGAAACTGTTCTTGTGGCTTTCCTCTGTGTTAGTCAGTGGCAGCAGTGATGAGCAGCATGGGAAAGTCACTGATCTGGTCTTCAGGAAATGCCAGACAACCTGTGAGCTGAGGAGAGAGTAGCTGTTGCTTGTGTTGGTGGGACAGCCTGGGCTCCCTGTGCCAGGCACTGAGATGTGGCTGGAGGGTAGAGCAGACGGGGGGGGTGGGGGGTGCCTCTCATTAGAGGTGCAGGAAGGATGGTGGATGAGACCAGCTCTTCTCCTGGGGACAGTGGGCAGGCTGAGGACGGTTCTGAGCCAAGGGCGATGTGCTACATTGGCATTTTGAGACGTTCCCTCTGGCTGCCATGTGGAATAGGAAGGAGTTGCTGAAGGGACTATGCTCATTTTATAGATGAGCCACAGATTCAGGGCAGGAGACACAATTTGATTTTCAATTTGGTGTATAAACCCCACTCTACTGCTGGTGTAGAAACATCTTCTCACCAGTAGGGGGCTGCTGGCCTTTTTGTCCTGAAGGCCTCTGGGCCAGTGCTGCTCCAGGCTCTGGTAGGCCATGGAGGAGATCTGGAAGGGGTCTTCAGGATTCACCCTGGCTGACAGCTTCCTGGCCCCTCCTGTCTCCCCAGTCACTCTGCTGCCTCAGGAGGTGCTCCTGTATGTCCCTGTGCTGGTCCCTTCCTATTCCCTCTTGGATACAGCCCTAGTAGCTCTGTCAGCGTGGGGGGGTGAGGGTGGGGAAGGACATGTCGTGCTCTTGTTCAAACTACGTGGTCTGAGTCCAGTCATGAGAAAACAGAGAAGTACAAATTCTGGGGCATTTAACAAGATGCTCAGACACTTGGAAAATGTCAGTGTCCTGAAAAGCAAAGCGAAAAGGTGAGGGGATCCTTTTTGATGTACAGAGAGTGATTCTGGAGGGGAACCTGACTGGGAAAGATGAGGTATGACAGATTAGAGCAGGGAGGAAGAGTGGAATGAGACTGTGCTTTAGACAACACAGAGGAGCCTCAGAAAATTACAGCAGTTTGCTCTGAGGAATGGAATTTTATTACATTGTACAGGGTCGCTATGAGGCAGAACCAACTCCATGGCACATAACAACAACAACTTGATGCAGAGGAGTCCTGGTGTGGCGATGTGGGTTAATGCACCAGACTGCAAAGCCATTTGAACTGCAAGGTCGGCAGTTCAAGCTCACCAGCTGCTCCTCAGAAACCCTATACAGGGTCGCTATGGGTCGGAATCGACTTGACAACACTTACCACCAACAACAACTTGATGTAGGAGTCTTGTAGGATAAGCACTGGACTGCATGGTCAGTTTGAACCTCAAAGTTCCAATCCACCAGCCATTCCTCGGAAACCATATACAAGGTTGCTATGAGTTGGAACCGACTCAAAGCCACTTAACAACAACTTGATGTAGAATGTAGAAGCAAACTTACATGCTTAGATTCTTCAGAGTCTATACTGTGCCTTCATTATATGACTTTTGACAATCCTCCCAGCTTCCCGTTCTGCCTGTAGCTACTTGCTATTCCCTAGGAATGACAGTATGATATCATCATGTCTTGCTTGCGCTTTTTAAAAAACCATTGTCTGGGGTCCATGTGTTTCTCCCTTTTTGTTTCCACAAATTCCAACCTATAGTTTTGCACTAGGGACCACTGTCATTCTTTCTGAAAAATCACCTTCAAGCTACAGAGGCCAATTCGTTGTTTCAGTCTTTATTAGAGATATGTTTTATACCTATCATGATTACGCTGTAATATCCCAGTGCATCCTTTATTAAGAATTGAAAGAATAATGGAATTTTTCCATGAAATTTTGAAGCCCCCTGGTACTCATACCTGGATACTGAGCACTTTCCTTTGTAAGAGTAGGCCTTCCCGACCATTCATGTGTTCAGTTTGAGAGCGATAATGGGATTATGCTCGTGTAGGCATATTTTAAGGCACTGTGGTAGCGTAGTGGTTACAAACTGGGCTGCGAATTTCAAGGTCAGCAGTTCAAAACTACCAGGTGTTCCATGGGAGAAAGATGAGGCTTTCTGCTCCCGTAAAGATTTATAGCCTCGGAATCGCTGTACAGGGTCACTGAATTGGAACCGACTCCACAGCACATAACCACCACCACCACCAAGACATATCTTTGTTCTTAGGAGTCGCATTATGTATTTTGAGGTGAAGTGTTTGCAATTTACTTTCACATGTCTCCGGAGGAAAAAAAAATGTGTGTGTCCCAAGAGGTATAAAGCAAATATGGCAAAATGTGCTAACTGATGTAGCAAAATTGGTGATTCTAGGTAAAGGATATATGGTGTTCATTGTACTAGTCTTTCAGCTTTTATTTAGCATTGTAGTTATATATATATAAAAAGAACAGTTGTCCCCAATGAGAGTAAGGGATGGAGAAGCCCTAATACTGGCAACTCACACAGAGCATCAAAGGCATCTGGGGTTGCAAGGCGCATGGGCTGGAGGAAGCCGATCTGAGACTGCTCTGGTCATCTAGGATTGCTTGGCAGCCTCCTGACCAGACTGGGCCTGGGTGACCCATGGGTAAGGGCCATACCCCACCTGAACAAACATATCTTAGGGGCATTTTACTTCTGTGGAATGGCCTGGCCGAGATCACACAGGAAGGTGGGGCTGCTGTTCCCCTAGGAGGGAGTCAAGGACCACAGTGGCAACTATAGTTACATAGCTTGGTTAGAGAGCTGGGCACAGGGGCCAGGAGAGAGCTTTAGGGGACAGGGCAGGCTCTCAGCTAGGCATTTGGCTTTCTTCCAATGCAAGCTTATCAGGGGCATCCCATGGTGCTCAGGTAGGACATTTCAGGGTACCATGTTGCATGTGAGGGAGGGACTGGGGGGCAGGGCAGTGCTGGTCTAGGAGGGTTGAAGTGGGGACCCAGCTTCTGCACATTTCTTCTAACAACAGTGCTTCTAATACAGGACCCTCTCTGAGACTCCCCACCCACCCTGCCACTCACCTCCTGCCGCTATAGCGGCAGTGGAAACACAGACTCAGGAGGGTAAAGGCTCAGTCCTAGCCTTTGAGGTCCAACAGGGGCAGGGCTGGGTCTCCAGCCTGCCCCCAGCCCTGTTCACTCACACCTCTGCGTGCTGGGCTCAGAAACCCCCGTGCTTCCCTCAGGGCAAGGATGGGACTTTGGAAGGCACCTGTCCCAGGAGTTAATCGGCCACCCACATTCAGCTGATTCAGCTGCCACTAACAGAAGGGGTGAGCGTGTGGTGCGAGCTGCACAGCTTGCACAAGGCTCCTGGGAAAATGGTTCTGAGCTTTAGGCATCTCAGCTGAGTTGAGAGGAGGCTGGATCCAGGTCAAGTGTCTGTGACTGCAGAGCCTGACCCAAGACCTTTCTTAAAGGCCTGTTCCTGCCACAGGGCCTTGTCACCTACCCCTGCACACCTCCTTCCTCCCTAGTCTGGTTAGTATCTACTCATCCTTCGGTCTCTCTGCCCAGTCTGGATTTGGTGTTGCAACCACAGGGTCCCATTTCTGCCACTCTGAAAACGACCTCCATTAGCCCCCCTCCTGGCACTGGGCCTGGCTGAGTGGGGCTCCATTAAGGGGTCAGGTTAGAAGCAGCCGCAGGGGTATGTAGAGTGGGATCTGGGCGATGGGCAGGCAGCTGAGTGTATGGAGGGGTAGGGCCTGTCCGTGAAGGTGGTTGTAAACAGTCCATCTTGGCTCCTGTAATTGTTATTAAGCATTTGTATCTCCTGAGATCCCCTCATTTTCCAGATGAGGAGACCAAGAGCTTAGTTTTCTTGCCCAAGATCAGTGCTGCTGTGGACCTGCGCTGGAATTCTGGTTTGTTTTGAATCAGCGTGTCTCCAAAGAGCTGTCTTTTGGGAAGGGGTGTCCATTCCCATCCCCCTTTTCCAGCCTGCCATCCCACTGCAAAGACACCACGAGCTCTTGGTACACGTTACCTCATTTATTCTCACAACATGCCTGTGAGGTAGGGAGGGGCAGGGACTGTCCCCATTTTACAGAGGAAGAAGTTGAGGCACACAGAGGTCAAGTGACTTGCCCAAGGTCACAGACGGCGGCCAAGCTGGAATGGGGCCCCAGAGCAGGCCCTTGGTTCACCCAGAGCCCCTGCAGCAAGCGCCAGACAAGAGGATGTCTCCAATGCCATAGTCATATACACAGTATAGAGCAGCCCCTCCTGTGTGGCCTCTGTGCCCACGGTCTGCCCTTACCTTCCCCTCCCCATTCCTTCCTACAGACCCGGGCCATTGCAGCTCAGGGCTCATGACACCCTGGGAGTGGGGATGAGGGCAGGGGGAGAGGAGGAGAACTGGGGCTTTAAAAAAACAAATTAACAGAAAACAGACTGGGCAGACGTGCCCATGGGGGGAGGGGCAGGGTAGGAGATTAAAAAAAAAAAAAAAAGGGCTGCTTACACACAAGGTATATATTTTTACACACACTTGTACACACACCTAAATATAGTACATGTAAAAATATATGCTATTCACACACCCACCTCCTGCCGGGTGCCCCGAGACAGCGGTGGTGCTGGTGGGCGTGGGTGAGCAGATGGGCATTTGTTAAATATACACTCTAAGGGTCTATGTGCATATATGTACATGTCCATACAGACACAGCTGCCCTGCCCCTCAGGGGACTGGACCCAGGCTTGGCCCACGACAGATAACCCCGTGGAAAATGGGGTCCCTCTCTCAAGTGCACCCTGATCATCAATTTGCTGAAGGAAAGGGCTGAAGAGAAGAAAAAGGCAGGAGTCTGGAGTGTGAGAACTGGCTTTTATCTCCCAAAGACTTGTTTTAAACCTTCCTCATTGGCTCCGAGGATGGCAGTGGGCAGGTGCTGGCCCAGGAGAAAGAACCTGTCAGTGTGTGTGAGAGTGTGTGAGCACTTGGCGTCCGTCTGTCCTCTGGGCCCTCAGCCACAAAAGGGACTGAGGAACCAGAAAGCCACTCATCACAATGGTGATCCCTGTGTGAGTTCTGAAGGGAAGAGAGAAACGGAAGAATGAAAATTCCAAGGTCAGAGCAGGGGAAGAGGAAGGACATGGCAGGTGCCCAAGGCTGCCCTTGGACTGTCATCTTCTTGTAAACAAGCTAGTTTAAGTTCTCATTAGATACAACAAGTAAAAAGACCGCAGTCTGGAGGCTGGGCCGGGGAGTTGCCAGAGTCCGTCTATCTAGTCACCACGGCCAGTGAGAGGAAAAGAGTTTATGTTTCTTGTTGATTTGTGGGTGGATGTGTGTGGAGTCTTCATTATCTAGAGCTGGGAGGGACCCAAAAAAGCCAAATTGTGAGCCCTTGTATGCATCACTTTGCAAGTTGGCTCAGGGTCTCTATAGACAGAATAATCATACTAAATCAAGGTTGAGAAAAATTTGTTCCATTTGCATTTCGTTTTTCTGTGTTTTTTAATGACTTAAAAATTGTTTCCTTTTTCCTTGATGTTCTCAGAGTCGTGTCTGGGCCTCGGGGACATATATCTCGATGCTGTCTGCACTCTCTGTGGCCGAGTTCTGCCGCACAGAAGCTGCCCGCTTGGCAGCCAGGAGTCTCTTGCGGGCCTCCTGGCGCTGTTTGTCCCCCACATCTGAAGCCTTGTCTCGGCTCACTGCTGGCTTGGATTTGGCTGGCTTCTTTGGGACCGGAGGGGGTGGTTTCTTCTCTTCCTTTAGTGAGACAGTGAGGAGGGAACAAAAATAAAATAAAGGTGCCACGTTTTGAGTGGCACTACCTCCCACTGTATGCCAGCAGTGGGAATCTCCATCCCAACCTCCCCTTGTTGGGCACAAGCAACACACATTTGGAATTAGGAAGCCACAAAAGAAGCAATGGTAGTGGGATTAGGTGGTACGAGGCATAGGAGCAAAAGGCAAGCTTAGACCCCTAGAATGTTCTAGCAGGAAGGGCTGGACAGATCACCTATTCCTATTCTTGCTTGGAACCACTGGGTCATCCAGCCAGAGACAGGCCTCAAAGTCAGGGCCCCAAGTCCCAGGTCATATCTCACATAGAGGATTAGCACTTCAAGGGGCCCCAAGGTTCTCCTGTTTTGCAGAGGCTGAGCCTGAGCAGAGGCTACCCCAGGAGGCAGAACTGGGTCCAGGCCCTGTATTCCCAGGAGAATAGCTCATTTTGCTGTCTCCACCAGCACTCAAGGGTATCCATCTCCCGTGACCCCTGTTTCCCAAACATGCAGGACGGCATGCTACAGAGGGCAGCCTCAACTATACAGAGCAAGCGGCATGCCGGACGAGTGCCAAGCATGGACCCCGCACATTGATGGATGTGAGCCCCCAGCTCAAAGACGACACATGGAGAAGGGAGCCAAGCAGCACTGACCGATGTGGGCAGCGTTAGTGCCGACCAGGAATTTGTCCCTGGACTTCCCCTCCGCACTGCTCCATGCTCACCTTCCTCTTCTCGGGGGTCTCCACCAGTTGCCAGCTGTTGGCCTTGAGGTGATAGAGTTCATCAAACTTCATGCTGATGTCCTCAATGGACAGCTGTAGTAGGTCCCAGAACCCCGCCAGGTCCTGGGCTGTGGGACGTGGATTGGCGTCGGGGTTCTGTGAGGCAGATGGAGATCAGTGGGGCTAACAGACAGAGGCTCCTGCACCCCACTCCAAGTAAGATCCCTCCCCCGGTCCTGTCAGCACTGGTAGGAGGGTCTTTTGAAGCACAGTTTACAAACAAGGAGGCTTTAAAAAGTTCACAGAAAAGTTCCATGATCTTTTTGAAGCCTCCCACCCCCATAAATTCATGTGGTCTGCGGCCATCACCGCACTACACTGTGGACTAAGGCAACAATGGCGCGCATATGTCCTGGGTCCCTCCTGTACGTCACACAGACACATGCTTTCACTGAAAATGTTTTCATTTACGTGGAATCAACAGGCGGCACAGGCCACGGCCCCACAGTGAGAAAGGGGAAGTCAAGGTAACTCATTCCTCCTCACTGACAGCTCACCCCACAAATCCCTACAGGTTGCACAGACAGGCATGCCCTCCATTTGTCTTCTACTCCCATGGGACAAGACTTGGTGGGCAAGGTAAGAGAGTTCTCCAGGCCAAGCCCTCCTAACAAGTAAAGATGAAAGAGCATGACCCCTACCCTCACCCCTTACCCCCAAGCTTAGGGGCAGGGCAATACGAGGGGCTTCAAAAAGTTCATGGGAAATTCTGTTTTGTTGTAATTCCAGTTTTCCATGAACTTTGTATTTCTTTAGTTCTTACCTTACCTTGAGTGTATTCCCTGATATGGGTATGTATACTTTATGTGCTGAGTTTTAATTTTCATGCAGCTGATTGTAAACAGAAAATTAGACTATGTACAAAGGCTGTTGGCCAGGCCAGTCCAGCTGGTGGAAGTCCCGCTGTGGAGGAAGAAAAATCCACTCACCAAGTTTTGTTCACAGAGGCCCCGGAACTGCTGGAACTTCTGGGACATCAGTAACTGAGCACTGCCCACAGCACTGAGGACTTTTCCTAAGACTGCGAAGGAAAACGCAGCAAGAGACCCAGTTAGCTGAGCACAGGGTTTGTTGAGGTATAAGGGAGGGTAGGCGGATGGCTTCCAACTCTCTCTCCCCTTAGAATACAAATCATTATTTGGTGATGGCAGTTGATCTTATTTTATATGTATATTAATCCATTCTTACTGTGAAAAATGCCAACAATACAGATAAAGTAAACCCCATTCTCTAGCACCTAAGTATATTTTTATGGCAATAAATTTGAAAACTGACTTTTAATGAAAAAAAAAAAAAAATTTCCCGAAATACAAACTATTAGCATGAATGATTTGAAAACTGAAGAAGTAAAAAATATTTTTAAAAAACCTAGGCCTATGCAATTTTATAGGTGGGATTCTCTACAGTCTTAAAGGAACAGATGTAAAAGTCTTCAGTAAACATCTTAACCATGAAGAGTTTAACCCAGGAATAAGAGGGTAAGTCAAGAAGGATTGTTACCAGATCAAACAAAAATATCAAAATGTAAAGAAGCTGTTGTTTTTTTGACATCACCTCCGTCTAAGGCCTGTGCACTCCTGAAGGAGTGTTCCTTTTCCTAACGAATTCTGTGTTCTTCAACTCATACCATGTCAAAATGGCAGTTTTAGCATCCCCGAGGAACTTAAGAATAAGCAGCTATAATGGGAAAATGCCTCAGCTTAACCTTCCTGGCCTTTTCCTCACCAGTGCAGTTTTCATCTTCATAAACTTATCCTTAGAGAAAACCTATCAAGATGACCCATGTGGAGTCAGGTCAATACTATTGTATAGAGATACTGTACCACATGTAGTCCCGGTGTGGCACTGTAGAGTAAGTACAAGGTCAGTGGTTCAAACTCACCAGCTGTTCCTCAGAAACCCTATACAGGATCACTATGAGTTGAAACTGACTCGAATGGACTTTACAACAAACACCACATGGAGAGGCTGAGGGGGTATGGGAGGGGGAGTGGGTATGGTACAGTGAATTATGGCTCTTCTACCACAGTCTTGGTAACTCCCACCAAATGACTGGGTTGCTGTTGATAAGTGCTGCTTAGTCCATTTCAACTCAGCAACCCTGTAGAGGGTTTCCAAGGAGTGGCTGGTGAGTTTGAACCACCTACCTTTCAGTAAGCAGTCCAGTGCATATCCTACAGCATTACACCAGAACTGGGTAGAACCCTGCGAATAGTATGGTGGTGGTGGTGAGGTGCCGTGGAGTCAGTTCCGACCCATAGTGACACTGTACAGGGTTTCTGAGGCTGTAAATCTTTATGGGAGCAGAAAGCTGGTAGTTTCGAACTGCTGACCTTGTGGTTTGCAGCCTGATTTGTAACCACTATGCTACCAGAGCTCCTTAATAGAGAATATAGGCCTCCAGTTTTAGCTTTTCCATTCCAGTAGTTTAAAAGGAGCCATGGCCGAAGCAGAAACAGATGATTTCTACCTGGAAGGAAAAAAAAGGCTTCCTGGCACATGGACTGAGTAAAGTTGAGTGCCTAAGGGCAGGAGACAGGCTTGCAGAATGTGCCCTTTGGACATTTACAGAGCAAACACAGCCTTGTGACACATGCTGGAGCAGAGTGGAAGTCAGGAATGAAAGCGAATACCTCAGAAGCCACGGTTTTTATTGGTCCTATTGTTTGAAGTCACCTCAGGAGGCTAAAGGAGCTCTGGTACTGTAGTGGTTATGAGTCAGGTTGCTAACCTCAAGGTCAGCAGTTCAAAACTACCAGCTGTTCCACAGGAGAAAGATGAGGCTTTCTGCTCTTGTAAAGATATACAGCCTCAAAAACCCTATGTAGGGTCGCTATGTGTCAGAACCGACTACATGGTACACGGTACCACCACCAAGGAGACTAAGACACGTGCTTTACTGAGAGAACTTGTCTGCAGACACCTGCTGGTAGCAGAGACTTGCTTAAGCCTGTTTTGCTGGGGATCAACTGGTGGACGTATGAACTTGGAGCCCAAGTAGCAATGCTTTTTCACTTACCCTCATTGGCCTCTTTTAGTGTGACTTCCAGTATTAAAGTGGCTTAAGACAGTACTACCCACCTTGCCCTTTTAAAAATCATGGAAAAGCAAAAACAGTAAACAAGAAATGGACATGATCTTTGATGGTACTCTGAAGCGATCCTTTATGTGGAAGGCCGCCAAGTGCAGGAGAGCCGCCCAAGGACTCAGGACTCTCGGGATTGTTACTTTCAGATGAAGGTGGCAGCTTTGAGTTCTCCAAAGTGAGCAGCATACCCAGAGGTATTAAGCCAGAAGTTAATAATCTCTTAGCAATCAGAATACAAAGTAATAGGTTTCCTGAAGTAGGTTTGGCACCCCAGAGAAACAGGGGACAGAAATTGCATTATAAGCAGCCCCGTAGCTGCCAGTGGAGGAAGGTCTGAAAGGACTCACCCAGGCACCTCTCCCCACCCCCTAAGAATTCCTGCTAGCCTAGACAGTGCTGCAAGAACTCATCTAGGAATTAGTAGTTAACAAAGAACCAGCACAAGGAGGTACACGCAAAGATTTTACAGGGACAAATGGCAGGTAAACCGCCACCAGAAAATGACTGCCACTCAACATGACAGCTGTGACATTTAGCTATGACTCTGAAATAGGAAGCTCAAAGCAGAGAATAGAGGTGCTCAGAAAAGAGATGCCAAGACAATGGAAGGAGAGACAATGGGAGCTTAGAAACCAGTGCAGAGACAAGGAGCTCACTGGAAGCAGCACAAAGAATCAACTGCTGCAAACTAGTGGGACCCAGAGAGGAGGACTGCAAAAGTTCTGGTTTAAAATATAATCTGCTTGATTAACATGTCTTTTTAAATGGCCCACTAAGCTGCTGGGAAGAAAAGCCTAAGTCTCTCCTGAGAACTCTTAACCAGAAGCTGTTGACTTTATCCCACTTTTACAAAAGACCTGTTTGCGCTAACTGAAAGAAACCCTAAGAGGATTTTCACATTGTGAAAAGTGAAACGAGCGTTTGTTTTCCGAGAATAATGTCTCCAGGTTCCTTCCCTGGGAACTGCACTGTACATATATTGTTTCTACTTTATAAGTTACATATTTATTATTCTTGCTTTTACTATACAAGGGGGGGCAATCAAAGAATTTGTGGGAAAATGTAATTAATTTTTCCACAAACTTTTTGAAGGTCCCTCTTATGTTAGTATTATTTGGTATGATTTGAGAGATCCTTTTTAAAATCCTTTTATGGGTCTGGAAATGCAAAAAATTTTTTTGTATAAATTAATGGTCATTGCTTCTTTATTTTATGCCACTTTGGCAGACAGTGGTTAATAATTTTCCAGAAATCATTAATGACATCAAGTCTTCAAGTCAGAAAGCCAAATGAATCCCAGCAAACCCACACTTCAGTGAAACTACTGAATTTCAGACAGGGAAGCTTTTAAAAGCATCAAAGGAATAAATGAGACACAGAAACCTTCTCAGTCACAAAGGATGAAGACAATGGGATAATATATTCAAACTCTGAGAGAAAAGTATTGTCAGTTCAGAACACTACACCTAAAGAAACTATCATTCAAGATTGAGTAGGAAATAAAGCCACTATCAAACAGTATTAACTATCAATAGAGCCTTACTGAAGATCCTTTTCTATGTTAATGAAATTAGGATGAAGGAAAGTTAGTCTGGAGAGCTAAGAAAAGGGGAGGAGATGGCATAAAATCCTAACATGAGATCAATATGGCATGGAAGTTATGTGATGACTCAGATACTCCTGACCTGACTGATCTTTTTGCCTCCTTGATCCGTCAGTTAATGTATTCTAAACCCTTGAGTAGTCAGAGGAAGGGCAAGCAATATTTGTTAAGGATGGGTTGAGAGGCCAAGCGATCACAAATCAAGAGAAAGAGAAGAGAAAGTACAGAATGGCACAGAAGAATCTAAATACATCAGCAATTAAAATATACCAATTTTCAGGATCAATAAAAGGGCAAAACCCAAATTATATGATATATGCTGTTGCTAAGAGACACATAAAACCTAAAGACAGAAAGTTCTATATGTGGTAATGGAAAGAGATAAAGAAGGTAAGTAGCAAAAAAAGAATGTTGGTATAGTTATATTAGATGACAGAATAGGCTCCAAGGCAAAGAAAAAAAATTATGTTGAATATTGATAAAAGGTTTAATTCACCAGAAAAATCTACTAATTCTTAACTAATATGCATCTAGTGACATGGCTTCAAATGTATAAAGTAAAAAATTAAAACTATAAGGAGATACTGGCAAATTCACCATTAGAGTGGAAAGCTTTGAATGCATTTTTCTCAGTAACTGATAATTAAAGGAGACCAAAATTACCAGTAAGATTAGGACTATCTAAGTCTTTTAATAAACTTGATCTAGCAGATATATTATAGAACCCTGAACGTATTAATTGGAAAATGTTTTAACAAACTTAGGGGGAATAGCATCAATACGGACCAAATTCTAAACCATAAAACATCTCAACAAATTCAGATAAGATGTATTTTCTAACAATTAGGTTAGGAAATAGTCATGAAAACATAACTAAATCCCACTTCTCCATTTCCAGTATACACTTAATGCACACATCTTTAATATCCATTGGTCAAAGAAATCACAGTGGAAGTTAAAAATACCACATATCCTAAAGCTTCATAGCTTATAAGTAGTGAAAGGAGAAGCTGAAAACAAATGTGCTCAGCATCAATTTAAGATATTATAAAAGGAGTAATACAACAAGTCGAAAGAGAAAGAAAAAAATTAACAACATGTAATAGATAATTAAGGAGCTCTGGTAGTGTAGTGGTTACGAATCGGGCTGCGAACCTTAAGGTCAGCGGTTCGAAACAGCCACTCCGCGGGAGAAAGATGAGGCTTTCTACTCCCGTAAGGATTTACACCCTCGGAAACCCTGTACAGGGTCACTATGGGTAAGAACCGACTTGACGGCACTTAACAACAACAACAATAGATAACTATTAAAACAATGGGCTCAAACATA